TGGCTCCAATATACGTACGACGTTGGCTCCAATATACGTACGACGTTAGGTCTAGAGCTAATACATGTAAGTTAGCTCCAAATTAAACATCACAAGTTTTATCATGTTTGTTTGTTTTGATCTATATATTATGCATAACGACTAATACAAAAAAACTTTGCTGCCACATTGATTTTTAGCCGTGACTCCTCGTGTTCAAGTCTTCACTACAACCGATGTTTGTCATCGCCCCAGAATGCATTGCACTGGTAAAGTAATGGCAACGTCCTTACGGTGAAAAATGTAATAAACATGTATAAATTTTAAGTAATTAGGAGTTTTCACATGTCACAAACATTTAGTAGAATAGAGAAATATTAGTGCTAACACATGCAAGAAGTCCGAGATCCCTTTAAAGCCTGGACGTTTTAACCCTCCCGGTTACTTCGTGGGTCATTTTGTGGGTTTAGATGATACAAATCCACGTTGGTCTTTGCTGCATTTAGACTCGACTTTAGCTCAATTATCCTGAATTTTAACTCGTCTTCTCCAAGCTGAAGTAATTCAAGGAGCTTCTTACAACAGGTAAAACATGAAACTTTTCCACAAAGCTCCGAGTGAAAATGGTCAAAATGCCTTTAAAGCTGCTTGTGTTGAAACTGAACTTCTCAGGGTTTTGTTTACGCTCCGCTTTTATCTAAGAAACATGTTCTTAGCAACTCAACATCTACATTTATGTCAGAATATTGAAGCAAAAGTAAACACAACTTAAAGAGGACAAAAAGAAGAGAAATGAAATTAAAGTGTGCTACGTCTATCGAGTCTGAACTTTCACCCGACTTGAACCGTTTCAGCCCGTGCCACTTCAGTTTTATTGTTCATTTTATGTGGAGCGTTTTCCTTTCATGGTTTTATTTAGTTTACTTCTCTGCATACTTTTATTTTCTCACACAAACTAATCTGATTAGGCCTCTCTGTCCACAGTAATCCTAATTAAAATATAAAAAGAGGCAAATAGTTTCCTAAAAGCAACAAGTGCAACACAATCTCAATAAACTCTTCCATCTGATTATATTAAGATATTACATTTACTAAACATTATTTTCAAAAGGAGACTGGTGGAGTTATTAGAATAATCAAAAGTTTAGCATTTTTATTATGAATCAGCGTCATTTTGTCGTCGATCCACTCTGCGATTAAACGGGTTTAGTCCAAAGAGAAAAAAAAAAGTTTAGTGTTTGATTGTAGGGCACCGACACCACTGAAAAGAAAAATGCTATGAAGCTCTTGAATTAATCTGGAGAACATGCTCCAGCTTCAGCCTCCCCGCCAGCACCTGCTGAGTAAACACGGGTCCATGTGGATTGTCAGCTTTAAGCGTTTGGGAAGCAACAGCTTTCTTGTTGACGTGTTTACTTGCACAGCAATATTCCAAGAGTTTACCTTCTCCTCAAACAAAGGTCCAGACCTGGTGTTTACATGAGCTGCATGCTTGATATTCCAACATAATCCTGCTCACACGTTAATGAGCAAAGTTCTCGCTCCTCATTTCGTATCCCTGGTCCTCGGTGACGTTCGAGGCTTCCAAAGCCTTTAAGACTTCTACATGTCTGGAAACTTCTGGGTTTACCCTCTCGCCTCCAGAGGTCTTATTCTGCACGACCTGCAGAGGAGCTCAAGGTGCGTTCAGTGTCAACTGGAAACATTTTTATTTAACCATGTTTACAGACGTCTTCTGCAAGGGGGGCCCGGGCCTTAAGGCAGCATGTTTTGGAATTTTAACCCCACCACAAAAGTCAGGATCTTATATCATCCCCTAAAGGGCTTTGGTTCTTCTTCTTGTATCAAAAAGCAACGTACTTTCACCGCTCATACAATGGCTGATTGTTAAAGTTACTCACTGCAACGTCATGAGGACAGAACAAAAAATGATTAAGAAACAAACTCCACACAAGAGGTTTTCCTCACACGAATGACCATCAACTACAGAAACAACCTGAGTGACTTACAGTGGGTCAAAACTTAAACCTAGCAGCCATATTTGTTTGCCTAAATAATCACGTGACTCAAACTTCCATAGAGTTTGTCAGATTCAGCCGAGCGCTTTGTTTCCATCAAGTGTGGACCATTTTAGAATGTCAGTGGATATATGTCAAACTAGTGGAGTAAAGTCTTTCAAACAGCGCCGTTTAATATAGTTGAAGGTAATCTTGTTTGTGTTTTGACCCCAGACAAAGTTCCAACTTTCAATTAAATGCAGCTTTAAAGCGCGCAGAAGCTCCAGTTTGCAGGTTTAGGTCGGGAAAAAATCAGAATCTTGCTGTGCATGGAAACACACTCACTTTTTATTTAAATTATCGGACACAAATAAGAGGTTTATCTAGATCTTTATAAAAGCTTTGGAGCCTAAATCTACATTCAAGCCTTAAAATTGTTGTCAGTATGCTAAATATGAAGCTGCTTGCAGCTAGCTTAGCTTAGCGAGTCCCAGAGTAAGAAGAAAACACCAGTTGTTCTAAATTACACACAAAAAAAGAACGAAAAGCAGCTGGATTCAAACAGGAAATTCACAAGAAAACTCAAGCTTCTATTAATTATAATATAATAATAATAATAATAATAATAAAAAAGTGCATTTGTAAGAAAACCAAAAGAAATAGCTTCACGTTGCCATGTTCAATCAAATCATCAAACCACTTTTTATTAAACATTTTTAAAGGTCAGATCAAGCTTTAAAGGTATCCTTGAGAGTTCACTCTGTGGAGCGGTTATGAACATTATCTGCTGTAGGAAAAAAAAGCTAAACCTGATCAGAGAAGCTAAAGGCTAGCATGAGCTAACTCAGACTAGCACCATTTTCCCACCTTTACAGCGCCTTTCTTTTGCATCAGAGTTAAACCTGTTAAATTGTTTATTTTGGAACAAGTACTCCACACGGATCATGATTGGAAACAAACTGCAGAATGTGAAACTGTGTGAAGGTTCGTAAAATGAACCGTTGCATCAACGGTAACTTCTAGGATTGGACCCACTTTGGTGTTGCTAACCTCGGACTGCTCGTTAGCTCGTTTGTGTCTGAAACATCAGTGAACAATTTAAAACTTTAAAATCTCAAGCAAAAGGAAAATTAATCCAGTTTCTGCTCTACTAAATGTATAAACGTATAAATTTAATCTCAGATTATTTAACAAAGGTTCTTGAAGTAGCTCCATATTTAGCATACAGTTTATAAAAGTGGCACAAGAAAGCAAACGTTATTTCCCAAAGAAAAAGTCTTGCATCGTTCAGGTTGGTCGGCGTCGTTCCCCTTAAAATCTGAACTGTTACGGTATGTGCATTTTAAGATAGCTTCTTCAATTTCATACGCATGGCTCATAATCGTCGTCGTTTCACGTAAGGCAAGTGAAGCTCGGTGGATGCTGTTGGTGCACTGTCCACCCAGTTCGCCTTTCAAGTCATTTGTTCAAATTCCATATTTAAAACAAGAAGAAAAAAAATGTTACAAGAGTGCTTTTGTTGCTTTGTACGAGGGGACAGTGGTCAGAGCCCGAACACGTCGGCCCCGACCAGCATCAGGATGATTAAAATGTGCAAGCACTGAACTCAGATCAGATTTAGGAAAAGAAAACATTCAAAGACAAATTCACCGACGTATAACCCTTTCGATTTAAAAAAAAAAAAAAAAAGGTAGAAGCTTGAGGATGGACACACGTATCAAGGTGTTTGGTCTTCCTCCTCTTCCTCACAGTCTTGAGGCGCTGCAGCTGGTTCAAGAGCACATTCATTCATCGAGACGGTCCCAAACCTTTCTGAAAGGCACCGTCGGCCGGAACGCCACCATCCAGTCAGAGCTGGTGGAAAAAAATCATCGTTCACACGCCCGCTTTTCAGAAAGGAAGTGGACGAGAAAGAGGAGGCAGCTTCTTTTAGCTAGATTGCTGTTGTCTGTCCGCCCAGGAGTGCAAAACTAGTTCTGCATTGAATCAACATTAATAACACAGCATTAAATGACATCAAGTAATCAACTCTACAGGAGAGGCTCCTTCCAGCCTTCCTCAACAACATTCCTCCGTCCTCGCCTTCAGCCACTTCGCTTGTCTCTCCCAACTGCTTTGAGCTTCTGTGGAGGTGGGGTCGGGGTTGCACCAGAGGGGGGTTGTGGGTCAGGGCGCAGCACAGGTGCTACCATCAAGCCCCCACTAAAAGGAGTTGGCAGGAGACGGGGGTGTCAGCTTATCCAGACTGGACTGCACAGGTTGAGAAACTCCAGGATCGAGTTTGATAGGACCCATAGAGGTTCCCGTCCATCCCTGATGATCAGTGAGGAAGTCAAAAGGTGGCGCTCCCTGCCCGCCTCTGGGCTGAGCGAGGGTGGGGCGGGCACCACAGCTTATCAGGCCTGGAGGATTTGGGGTTGGAGGGGAGGGGGTGGGGTGGGGTGGGGGGGTCCATCCAAAATACCTGCAGCGCTCCTGCTGTTAGGATGCTACTTTAGTGGTCTCGTGTTTTTCAGGCAGATGTTGTTTCTTGGGGTCAACACAATGACAAAGTCACCAGAGTTGGACGACCGCTGAGTCCACGACCCAAAACACGTTGACGGTCCGAGCGGTCCGAGCGGTCCGAGCGGTCCGAGCGTCAAACATCCAGAGAACAAGCAGAGAACGGCGTTAGAACGGCTCCCGGTGGGCTGGTTACATCCCAGAATCACAGCGTTGCTTTTCTCCACCTCCGCAACCCCATTGTATAGGTTGGGGGGAGGGTGGGGGATCTCAGGGTGAGAGGTGTGCAAAAAAAATGGGTGGTGTCAAAGGGGGTGTGGGGTGGAGTGTCACAAGGCCACGGCGGTGCAGGGGTTTTTGAGCTTGCAGGGCAGCACTCCTCTGTTGAGCTGGTAGAACTCCACCAGGTGGATCAGGTCGGTGAACTTGGTGGAGCCGTCGTCCAGGCTGAAGAACACCTGGCCGTCCTCCTCACACTGCGGGTCGGAGCCACAGTTAGTCACAAACAAGTAAACCAGGCGAGTATAAAGTTTTATTTCAAACGGTCGTACTTTATAAAACTCTAATGACTCGAATTATTTATGAGCTCATCACAAATAAATCTGAGTGTGGAAAAAGATAAATTATTATTAGTTGTTTAAAAACAGACTTTTTGCTCTTAAAGGTCGACAGACTGCCCTGAATGATACCTTCCATTTGACACAAAGTATTAATTTACTGTCAGCTACTGTATAAAAACACAGAAAATCAGCAACATACGTCCTTTATGACAGAGCCCTTTAAACTCTATATTACAAAGTTTTATTTTACTAAACGGCATGCTTTATATGTCACCACCCAAACATTTCTTATGAAACGGTACATTAATAAACTTTCAATAATTAAACAGCAAAAATATCCGAAGTTTTACAAATATTGACATATTTCAACAGATATACAGTTGTCCCTTGATACTTTGTGCTTCGACTTCCGCAGGTTTTCACTGTAAGATTGTACACGACACACGAGTGTCAACTTTAGTATTACTCATGAGACTGGGACGGTATGGGATAAAAAGTTAACGAGAGTGGGATCCAACGAATAGAACAAAAAACTAAACAAATACTTTGGACATGTGCTGCCATTTTGTAGTTTTCTTTCAATAAGCCTACACTGTAATGCAAGTCAAAAGAACTACATAGCCCAGAAGCCAACAGTGCTTCCGGCCGCTGCTTTCTGCCAAAATTCAAAGAACAGAATGGAGGGAGCTTTAACACGGAGCAGTTTTGTTCATGTATTTTTTAAATAATTTTCAATTTTTTTATTTTTATATTTTATTTTGAAAAACTTCCTGCCACTGACTAACATGTTCCTTTGACAGAGCTGGACGCTCGTGCCCCCCAGCACCCCGCTCCTCATGAGGGCAGGCGTTTGTGACAGAGTGAATGCCCTCAGGTAATCAGATGTACGACGACTCTGGCTCGTGGTTTCAAATACCCAACCTTAACTCCACCCACTCTGTCATCATGTGACCAGAAGTCTAACCTGAATGACCAACGAGGTACTCTTGAGGACCATCCCCTAAGAGAGACGTGAATTAATTTCTTTAGATCGTTCCCGTGTTGTTTATCGTATTTTGTGCTTCATGCACAGACCTGTTCATTTGTTCAGTGATAATGGAAAAAGCACGGAGAATTTCTTATGACGCAGCTTTCATGTTAAAAGTGACTGATCAGTCGATCAGTTGTCGAGGAGGACAGAGGAGGGCGGAGCTGCAGCCCGTAAGCTGCATCAATGTGTGTCGATGGACGGGCATTGGAGATGCAGAGCAGTTTAGTCTGGTACATGTTTTAATAAAAAAATTAAAATTCTTTCTGTGTCGGTAAATATGTTTAAATACCAGGATCTCATTTTAAAGTCAAATCTGAACATGAAGCGGAGAACAACAGAAATGAGTCATTCCCCCCTCCCCTTCCGTCATGAGAGCTTAGTGGTGAAGAAGTCATCAGACTTATTTTTAAAGCAGTCAGTCAAGACATAGTTAAATAAAAAAGTTTTTAAAAATCTTTCTGTGTACAGTAAATATGTGTTTAAATACCAGTATCTCATTTAAGCTTAAACAGGGGCATTAAACAGAACTGAGGAGACATCGGTGAGGGAGGGGCTGTTCCCTCTTCCTCCTCCTCCTCCTCATATGAGCTCTGCTGAGAAGAAATCATGTCAAATTTATTTAGAAAGCACAATTAAAAACAGCACTTAACAAAACTGTTTACCAATAAAAATCAATGGTGCTAATGTAATGAATATTTACTGCATTCTACCGGTTTGATTTGACTTCCAGTCACATGACCTCGATAAGACTGGGTGAATTTTAAAATAATTTCAGTTCTGTCTAGTGATTATGCTTAGATAGTTATTGTGTTCATTTTGAAGGTATAATGGTTGTAACCATGAGTCAGAGAGCCAAGCTTCGTGGCGATCTTGCAGTCTGAGCATGTGTTGAAAGCAAGCTGTATTCTGTGAACTCCATCTGCTGACTGGTTCTTGTAGCACAACAAGAAACCTGCACACAGACTGGGCACAGATTCTGAACAGTGGATGCCTGCGGCTTAACAATTTTGTACATAAATAGGACGCTCCAGTTATGATTTATCTTATATTTAATAAGTGCGGCTTAGAGACAGGTGCGTTCTAAAGTCCAAGAATTACGTTAGTAACAGGGCTGGGCTGACTGACGTGTGAACAAAAGAAGAAAAACAGCGGTGCTGCAGCTCAGTAATGTGATGAACTGGTGACGGTGTGCAACCATCCACTCGTGGGATTAAACAAACTGATTTATTAGTGAGGGATTATTGAGGAAGACACACAGCAGCTGTGATGGTTAAAAATATTGTTAACTCCAACTAGGATCACTAGAGTTTAGTAAATGACACGAGGGAGGCGTCTGATACACATTGAATGCACCACACTGCTTCAGCCCAGATGAGTTCTGCTCCACGCCTCTTTAGTTTCCGATCGGCCCGCTCCATTTCTGAATGCTCACATCTGTGGCCGGCTTCATCTGTGATTTATGAACGGCTAGAGGAAGTTTAAAGATGGACTGGTCTGCGTGGCCATTTTGCAGAACTCTCTTACGAACGAGTCTGTAGATTTTAGGTCACCTCTGGTAGGATTTGGAGAACCGTGACACCACAGAACTGCATCCAGGACATCTAGCATCTGCAAGTTTTGCCAGGATTGGACACGTCCTGAACAGGCGCCAGAGGACATAAGATGGCATCATGTCTTTCAACAATGCAACACTTGTCTGCTCATGGACCACCTACTTTACATTGAGGTCCTCCCCTGACACGCCACGCCCCCTAATTTGTCTCCAATAAACGTGGGATCAACGAGGACCAAGACTAATTCGACGTCCATGTGCCAGATGTTGAGAGCCTGTTACAGCTATGGACCAGCTTGCCACAGGAGAGGACATAACAGCTGTACACCTCTGTTCTGCACCAAACCAATGTCTGTGTCCAGCCTGGAGGGGCTACCACACCCTACTGAAAACAGACCGGATCATACCTTTATTCTTTGAATCTGATATAATTAATGCGATACAGTCACGACTTTTCAACACAGTCAGTTTTGATTAATTTCCACTGCTCTGTCTGGGTGGTTCTTTTTTAAAGGCCAAGATGCCGTTGGTTGACTTACCAGGGTTCTAGTTGCAGATTTGAACAAAGACTGAGAAATGAACCATAAGTTGTTAAAGTTTACTGACCGGCAGGATCTGGAAGTGCTTGATCTTCTGATGGTGGCACAAGGTGAGCACAAACGCCTTGGGAGTACTCTGACTGTCCCGCACCAGGAACAGCCTTTAGAAAATAAAGCCATGATAAAATCACTTTAAACTTGATATAATATAAAAAAAAGTTCAGTTGTTACATGAATATCTGTATCATGAATTACATATCAGTACTGTGATTTTCACACTTGAAATTCATGCTAATAACGAAGGTTTAAATGTGATGCTGCAATAAGGAAAACTGTTTAGCTACATTTGACACAAAACCAATCTCTAAAAGGAACTCTACACTTTTCTCACTCACCCATCAACTTGACCTTGCTGTATGATCATTCTGTGTGCTTCCTCTCTCATGATGCGACCATGGAACCACACTTGTGTCCTGTGGATCACTAAGATCAAACATTTATTTAGCACCACGCATCACGAGATAATCTATCAGCTCAGTTAAGATTGTAGGTCCTGATGGTGCTGGGCCCAGTATGATTCAGATGGGAGTACCTGAGCTTAAGGAGGATGGGTGC